TTTTTTGAGACGAGTCTCACTCTGTTGCCCAGGCTGGAGTACAGTGGCGTAATCTTGGCTCACTGCACCTCCACCTCCTGCATTCAAGCAATTCTCCGGCCTCAGCCACCTGAGTAGCTGGGATTATAGGCGCATACCACCATGCCTGGCTAATTTTTCCATTTTTAGTAGAGACGGGGTTTCACCATGTTGGTCAGGCTGGTCTCGAACTCCTGACCTCGTGATCTGCCCACCTCAGCCTCCTAAAGTGCTGGGATTGCAGGCATGAACTACCACGCCCAGCCTTAAATGTATTTTTTTTTTTTAATGTGGTTAGTATTTTTCCTGTTTGCTTGTCTTTTAGTGTTTGTAATTCTTGATGTTCTGCAGTTTTACATGTTTATGTAGAGAAATCTATTTTTTCCTTTGTGATTTCTTAGGTGCTTATAAAGGTGTTCTTTTTTTTTTTTCTATCACAAACCAGTTAGGTAGATGTTCTAGGGTTTGTATATGTGTGTATTTTGTTTTATTTTCCTCTCTTTACATTTAATTGTTTGACTTGGAATTTAAAAAATTGGTAGGCTGGGCTCAGTGGTTCACACTTGTCATTCTAGTACTTTGGGAGCTAAGGTGTCAGGATTGCTTGAACCCAGGAGTTCGAGGTTGCAGGGGACTATGATTGTGCCACTGCCCTCCAGCCTGGGCATTAGAGCAAGACCCTATCTCAAAAAGAAAACATTGACAACAAAAAGAAAAATAGAAAATCTCAATAAAGTGTGGACTTTGGTTAATCATAATGTATCAATATTTGTTTTATTAATTGTGATAAATGTAAGATGTTAATAACATCAGCCTCCCGAGTAGCTGGGACTGCAGGAGCGCACCACCACACCTGGCTAATTTTTTGTAGAGATAGGGGCTGGTGTCAAACGCTTGGCTTCAAGTGGTTTTCCTGCCTCTGCCTCCCAAAGCAAGGGGATTACATACATGAGCCATGGCGCCCAGCCTTCCTTGGTTTTTCTTTGGTGCCCTTTTTCTGCTCCGGGATCCCATCCAGGATACATTAATTGTCGTGTC